GACTGGTGTAAATTTTGATGAGACAGAAGTCACATTTCCCAAATCCTCCATTAAACAGAAACATGGAAGAGAACTAACAATTAGGAGGCTGATCATGCGTTATGCATCTGCAAGTAGACTATTTAGACTGAGAAAATGGGGACAGAGGTGATGGGGGTGGTAGGTCCAGGACAAGGAATGGCTTTTCAGAAAGAAGAGGGGTCCCTAAATGAAGACAGATAAGATCCTGGCAGGTGGAAAGACGCTGGAATTGATGAGAGATCCTGGAGATCAGCAATATGCATGGCAATGAACACTGGGGACTCCCAGGGACCATGGCCAGTAGCCCCTGTGAGGTAACTGCATGGAGATGCACAGCAGAACCCAACGTGATGTTCTGCCTGACTCTCCCAGGTCAGCAGTGACGTCCCTGCTTGGAAGGCAAGCTGAGATGTAGGGAAGGTAGCACTGGGTGGGAGGGTAAGAGGGAGTGTGAGAGATGATAATTGAGTAAAAGTTCTAATCTCATCAGTACTTAAACAAATCCCAGTATCCAGATGCACTGCGAGTTCTTGTTTACTCTGTCTTGCCTGTGATAGTTATAGAATAGGCTAAACCTCATTGCAGATGGTAGGTCTACAAGTTCCTACTCATTTTGGCTGCATATGAAAGCTCAGCATGCTTCACACTCAAAAGAGAAGCAGAAGAAGAATGGCTCTGGTGCTTGTTTTCTGGGAAGTTGGGGTTGGGTGGGAGGAAGGGTGATCTGATTTGCCAGACAGTAAAGCAGAGTTATGCAGAGGTGTTAAAGGTTAACAGGACTCTGTACATCCTTAAAAATAAAAGCAATTTCTGCATTTACCCTATTGACTCATCTCATCTCCTTATCCCAGTGACACAGTTGGTAAGCCTACACTTGGCATCATGCATATTTGTTCTTACCTATCAGACTGAAGAGCAGGACTAGCAAAACCTCGCCCTCTACAACAGGCAAGGGACAGAGCCCAGTGTGTCTCAGAGCAAAAGGATCATAAGTACTATCTGGAGTACAAGGTGTTCTGACACTGCTGGGGAACAGAAGTCTTGTAAAACGTGAAGTGCACAGAAGCCTTCCTGGTTTCTGGTTCCACATAACCACTGGAAAAAATATCTGGAAGAACTTAGGAAAATAAAGACCTGCAGAATCCAGCTCAGTGAAATCCCTGCATTCACAACTGTACAAGTCAGTATGACCTGGATCCACCAAATACTGGCACACACTTGGAAAAGATTAGGGTGAAAATAGGACATGACATATGCCTGGAAAATAAGATAGTGTCCTATAAATGCTTCCTCACTTCTCTCAATTAACACCACCCTGTCAGTAGTGGCAGTGCCTCCCATTCATTCCAGTGTACCTTTCTGCTTCTATGCAACTCCCTAAGCCATCCCTCTCTTCCATACCACCCGTCTACATTTATTTCTATCTTTGTATGATCCTTCCTTCTAACACTGCCTCAAGTGCTCTTCAGATTCTCCCCTCTCTTTCATGGCAGCACACAAAGTTTGTTTTTCTTTCCTTTCTCCATTTAAAAATGACTGGAGCACATGCTGTAGTTCATAGTTTACATGATACCCATTGCTTTCTATAACTAAAACCACTACAAAAATATGACTCAAAGATCTTTATTGTGTCCTTTTCTGCTGGTTTGTTTTGTTACCAACTTACACATCTAGTTCTAGATCAACTTCTTGGCCCTTTTTATGTTCGAATTGAAGCTAACAGCCCCTGCACATCGGTCAGGTTCAATGTTACTGAATGTATCACTAAATTGAGCCAGCTTTCACAAAAACCAGGATACCTGCGCCTGCCCATTCATCAGAGATGGATTAGATGAACTTCAGAGTTCACTTCCAAACAAGAGTTTCCTATGATTTTACTATTAGGTTCACATCCATTTTAGGAGACAAAACTGTTTCTCAGAATGTTGGCTTAATTTTGCCTCCCAAAGGGGTATGGAGTTCCACACTAAGACTGTTCTGGGGAAGTTCAGAGACATGCTTTGCTCACTAGATATGCCAAAAATTCAGCATTTGTGAATCTGAAAAAATAAAACTGCCTTAGCTAGGGGATGTATTTTAGGAAACCCTCACTTACGTTATCCTTGAAAGTGGAGAACTAATCTTACTTTGCCTCACTGGCTTCATCAGATTTCTAAGCAACTGACAGGTGCATATACAGCATAGAAGACTCAATAGAGTTCCACTTAAATGAAATGTATTCTTACCAAAAAAATTTTTAAAACAAAATTTATGGCAAATTTTGTATTCTGTTACAACAATAGCTGAAGTTTCAGTAATGATACTCAGCTCATAGAATGGAATCATAGAATCACAGAATGATTAAGGTTGGAAGGGACCTTAAAGACCATCTAGTTTGAACCCCCCTGCCATGGGCAGGGACACCTTGCACTAGACCAGGTTGCTCAAAGCCTCATCCAGCCTGGCCTTGAAGACATCCAGGGATGGGGCATCCACAACATCTCTGGGCAACCTGTTCCAGTGCCTCACTGCCCTCTCGGGGAAGAACTTCTTCCTGATATCTAATCTAAACCTCCCTGTTTTCAATTAACCCCTTTCAATTACCCCTTCAATTACTCCCATTACCCCTTGTCCTGTCACTACAGGCTCTTGTAAAAAGTCCTCTCCCAGTACCCTTGTAGGCCCCCTTCAGATACTGGAAAGCTGCAATGAGGTCTCCTCGGGGCCTCCTCTTCTCCAGGCTGAACAAGCCCAGTTCTCGCAGCCTTTCATCATAGCAGAGGTGCTGCAGCCCTCTGATCATCTTCGTGGCCCTCCTCTGGACTCGCTCCAAGTGGTCAATATCCTTCTGATATTGAGGGCTCCACAGCTGGACGCAGCACTCCAGGTGGGGTCTCACCAGAGCAGAGTAGAGGGGCAGAGAGCAGAGTACAGGTGCAGCTGTATGAAAGCTCCCTTTCATATTTCTCATGTGTCCTGGCCTTTGACCTTGTAAAGAAATGATATCCCAATTGCCATGTTGCAGTACAATGTAGCAGTTGAAAAAGCCCTGTATTTTGCTTTCCCTGATAATCTGTCAGGACAGGATTAGTGTTAATTCCCATACTCATAGAGGATCTTTTTTTCTCTCTCTTTTACATAAACAAGCACAAGTAATCTTGATCCCTTGGCAGTATAAATCTTCAAGAATAGTTAATTCCTAGGAGTTCATTTGTAATTAAAAACAATTCCATTTTCTTGAAGCTAATAAAATTTGACTACAGATTGCTTTCAATGTTTAAGTACAGGAGTACCAAAAGCAGAATTTTCTTCAAAGAACATACACAAAGACAAAAGTAACTGCATCAGGAGAAAATAAAAAAGCAGATAAAGAGATTAGCAGAGAAAATGCTAATTTTATTTTGGTAAAAATGGACAGCAATGATACTGTATTAAAAAACTAACACTGCAGAATGATAGGTCTACTACTCAGAGACACTTCTTAGCCCATTATCTTAATTTCATTTCATGCCCACTGCTAAGCAAATAACCCCACATCTACCCTGGAGATAATTTTTGCTAGTGAAAGCTATACTACATGTCTTACCAAAGGGGTCATATTAACCATAAAAGGCTGGGTCTTCCAGTGTTTTTTATTCAGGCTGGCAATGCCAGCCGATGACAGATTTATTGATTTATTCACAGTTACTACATGAAATTGTAAATTAATGCTTTAAAAACCCTCTAGGCTGTTATTTTCTTGCAGAGGGGTTATAGAAGAGGGAATATTTAATTACACATATTCAATTAATATTTAATTACACAATGATACTGCCAAAAAAAAAATCAAAAAATTACCTAAAGGATTGCTTCAGAGCAGTTTTTAATTGACCTGTATGCCTGCACAAAGCCCAATGTTTGCTGTAGTCATGTCTATTCACTGTTAATTCATTTTAAACTAGGAAAAAAATCCAGTTTCAGCAGTACCTACAGCTTATCATGGAAACTGTAAGATTCTCTTGCAGAATAAATTTGGAATAGTGCATCAAACCATAATGAAATACGAATGTTAATATAATCCAGGACTGCAATGCTGGTTTCTTTTATCTTTGTAAGTTTGTTACAGAAAAAAAAAAAAAACTATCTTCAAACCCCAAAACTGGTGTATTTCCAAGGAGGATACAGGGTATTTGTCCATAAAGACTTAAAGATTTTAGTTTACTCATCCAAAGTGTGACTATACAGAAAGAAAAAAGTCTACCAGAGATCAGTCTGAAGGAATACAAAAATGCAGACCTCCAGCCATGCTGATCTTGGCAAATTCAAGTCCATGGCACCCTAAAACCTCATGCTATGATGGCTCTCTATTCAGGAGCACCAAAGATGATATCCTGTTTCGTTTAACAGCTTTCCAGAGTCACGTGGGAGTCCCTGAAACACAAATATGCTTACACACTATTTTTCTTTCTCAAGTTTCACCAATGCCTAAGAAGCACTGCAAAGCAAGTGCATTTTCCAGCAGTCTGATCTCCTGCATGATCCGACAAGAAGCTGATTTATTCCTATGAAAAAACTTTTCAAAGAAAGAACTCACTTTTATATGATAGCATTTACTAACAGTTCCATAGTTTAACTGCTTGGGCCTATGAACTGTAACAAGGACTTTTGTTTCCTTTTTCCCTATCGCACTTCAATTTCTTGAATATTCACTTGAAGACACTGAGGAGCAAAGAACTAATTTGTCTTAAGTACAGCCATAAGCATCTCAAGGAGTTAAAAAAAGAGTAAAAAGAGAACAACAACAACTCATAATATAATAGCTGCATTTGAAACATATAGTGGTATTTTACCATAGGCACAATTTCTAAACCCCTAGCAAAGAAAACAACCTTGACTAAAATAAAGCTGGTTTTATTCACGAATAATCAGTGTTTGTGATTGCTGTACTGTTCTGTGAGCAAAATCTAATTTCCTTCAAGAAATGAGCTGTTCAAAATATCATACAAATCAGCATCACTCACCTCTTCTATCATTTCTGCCTGCGTTTGTGGATTTGTCAGAAAGGCAAGGGCAACGTCCTTCGCATTTCACTGAGATTTGTTTTCCTGAGACACAGCCTTGATAGTCTAATTTGCACTGTAAGGAGAGAGAATAACTATCATTAATATAAACATAGTTTATAATAAAAAACATAGCTCTAAGTGTTTTGAAGCAACCTTTCATGAAGGGCTTAAATCTTTGCAGACATAGGTGCTAGGAAAAAGTTCCTGCATTATATGCTAGCTTTGTACTAAGAATTAGAATAGATAAAGGTACACAGATTTTGTTCTCTATCCTGGCTATAGTTTCAGGCTCTATTCAAGCATGAATGCACTTGTGGTGTTATAGGCTGGTTCGAATATGCATACTAAATGGAAGTAGATTGTGCTGGTTTTATTTGCATTTTATGAGCAAATAAACAAGGCAAGAGTATTCATTATTGATAGGAAGTCATTAACAGTGAATTATTATACAATTTACCTCTTAATTTCTACATTTTAAAATGACAGTATCCCACATTAACAAATAAAATGGAAAGCTGTGCCTGATGCAATTCTGCAGAGTCTTTTCCAATACAGAAACAGATTAATTTGTGTGGTTCTGATATGGATACTTACAGCTCCAATTCAGAAACCATACAAAAATTAACTAAATCTAACCAAGAAATGGCCTTCTTGTCTGAAGGATATAAAAATAGCAAAGCAAACAGCTCTGCCTGTGCTGACTATGAAACAACTTTTTGTATCCCTGTACAATTATCCTAGCTGTTCAGGAGTGCTTGCATTATCCATGATGCCCGCCAGACCTCTTTCCAGACAGTGTATGACCGAATTCATATTTTAATACTCAAAAGAGCCTTCAGAGTTAGTAGAATGGATCATAGCCCGAAGTCAGTGTGTTTCTGTTGAAAAGAGATAACTTTTTTTTTTTTAAGATTTGAGAATATTTATTGTTCAATCTTAGTAGTAGTCAAACCTATAATTACTTGTGCTGTAGGCTTTGATTACTCCTGTTGGTTACTGAACTTAATGAAGCCACCATTTAAAACCAGACATATAAGCCCATTTCAGGTTTGTTTTACTGAGAACAAGAAGATGAGAAGTGCAAAACAAGGGAATACTTCCTTTTTTTTTTTTAAATATTTCTTTAATCCTTTCCTTGAGAGATTATTTTTTACAGACTCCAGCGCTTCTATTTTGTTTCACTAGAAGGTTGCTGAAGAAACTAGCAAATACCTCAAAGCTGCTACAGCTAACATAATGAGCTGTGAGTTTAATACTTTTATTTGTCTTTAAAGTTGTCTACTCAGTCCTATTTGCAAACAACATTACCCTTTTAAATGTTAAGAAAATCTGCATGCCCAACACCTGCCATAGGCACTGATACCTGAGTTAGTGAGTGCAAGTTAGGCAGATAACACTTCCAAATCAGTACTGCCACTCACAGGTATGCTAGAATTTTACAGTCACTGAACTCATTTTATGGACAGAAAGGCAGCAGAGAGAGATTCCCTGTCTCCAGAAACAAAGCAAAATCATGGTGCTTGCATAAGTCAGAAATGAATCAGTATGCTGTTCTGACAATTTTATATCAGTAGCTAGTGGCACCATGAATGTAACTCTGGTTCAAACCTCTTGTCTTTGTTCCCCAAATAAACACTGCACTGGGATATTGCAAAGGCAGCTCAGCTAAATAAAGGTAGGTCGACTTCCCTCTGTGTTACTCTCAGACTGGTAGAAGAGCAAGAAACAAACCCAAAAGACTCCACAGAAAAAGAATTATGTGGCCTACAGAATATGACAAAGTGAGAAGTAGTGGTATAAAGGAAAGGTAGTACTGGAAACAATGATGTCATTATTTGTTTTGTGGGGAAAATATCTGAGTAGTGTAAACAGCAGAAAAATACATGAACAATTTGTTATGTATAGCAATAAAATAATTATACGGCTTTATTAGTGAGGAAAATGTCATGAAACTTTCAAGAAATTAATCTGTCCAATTTCACAGTATGCTATATTTATATTGGTTTTATAAACTGTTAACTGCCTGTTCTACTTCCATCACGATCCCCTATATGCATGAAAAAAATATCATTTTACTTCTGAATATATCCAGCTTTTTATCTTCTGCTTTTGATTCCACTTTCCTCCTTAGCATATCAGTGTGCTACACTGGAGCTTCACCATGTCTCATCTTTATGTTTGATTCTAAGGATGTTGCAACTGTTTTGCATTTTCACACATTTTGTTTCAAGAGAGAAGAATAGGTATTTCTAAATTCAGAGCAATATGCTGCACAGTGCTTAAAGAAAAACATAATCTCAACACAGACAAAGAATATGTACCATGTCAGGGTCTCTTGGCAATATATTTCAGGATGAATAATTTCTTATTTCTGTACTGTCAAGTGCCCCACAGAAAAATGCGATTTGTTTACTCATATTCTGCCTGTCTGAAAACCTGTTCAGTCTTAAATGGACTAAGCATTTGTCAAAATCTGTCCAAAGTAGTAGTTTAGTGAAATAGAGACAAGCAATTAAAATCTGTGGGAAGAACATCAAAGAATATATGTCATCTTTAGACATGACTCATGCAGATTTACTATTATTACAATAAAGGTGAGAATAGTTATATTTCTGGAACAACTACTACAGTGTATGTTATTTTGATATACATGAGCTCTGCTCTTAGAACCATTACAGAAGTTGGGAAGATCAAGTGACAGTAATATATTTCATTAGGCTCTGCTACCTTCCATTCCAAAGTAGCTACCTGTTAAAGGCTGCCAAACAGATCTCTGTATATTGTACATATAAAGAGCCTACTTTTGCCCCAAAATGGAAAAGCTCACCTACATTTCCATGGCAAAATAATGAAAAAATGTAAATGCAAGTAAAAATACCCTATTATTTTTGCATGTATTTGAGGCTGCACCTCGAGTACTGTGTTTAGTTTTGGACCCCTCACTACAAGAAAGACATTGAGGTCCTGGAGCGTGTCCAGAGAAGGGCCACAAAACTGGTGAAGGGTCTGGAGAATATGTCTTATGAGGAGCGACTGAGGGAACTGGGCTTGTTTGGCCTTGAGAAGAGGAGGCTGAGAGGAGACCTGATCACTGCCTACAACTACCTGAAAGGAGGTTGTGGAGAAGTGAGTGTTGGTCTCTTCTCCCTAACGACAGATGATCGGACGAAGGGGAATGGACTCAAGCTGCGCCAGGGGAGGTTTAGATTGGACGTAAGGAAGAAGTTCTTCACCGAAAGGGTTATCACACACTGGAACAGGCTGCCCAGGGAGGTGGTGGAGTCACCTGCCCTGGCTGTGTTTAAGAGACGAGTGGATGAGGTGCTGAGAGATATGGTTTAGTGGCGGACAGATACGGTTGGACTGGATGATCTCTAAGGGCTTTTCCAACCCAGTGATTCTATGATTCTATGACTGGCAAGAATTCAAGGACAGGATATATTTTATCTATTACATTAAGTTTCAAACAATCCCAACCTTCCATGTATTTGTAAACCAAGCTTACAAATAGCAGATTTCCATATATACGTTTACCTTTAGAAAACCCACAAATCACCCTCATGTGATCAACTGACCTAATTTTTCCAGTGTGAATGACAGTATGCATTTCGGTAACATCTGAGGACACCAATAAGACCTTTGGCTTGAGAAAACTTTTTTATGACTTGAAATACTCAGGAAATCTCTATAGAAAGGAGTAATATGTCAGCACAAGTATACTGAGGTAAAATCTCTATGTTGTGTGAAAACCAATATTCAGAGAATATTTTACAGTCTAGAAGTTTTCTAGTTAGTTGAATTTGATATTTACATCCTTGAACACTTGAACTGGCTGAGCAAACTTACAGCCATTGAGAAATTGGGAGGGACAGAAAATTTATTATTAGACCAGAAATGAATGAAAGATGAAGAAAATAAACAAAAAAGGAAAATATCTCAGACATTATTAAAAAATCCCCAGCTTTTAAGTTTGAATTCTGGGCACCTATAAGAATCAAGGAGATGGACCATGCTATAGGGTTTTATTAGAAAAAAATCATATAAAATAATATAAAAATCACATAAAACAACAGATCAAGTTTCATTCTAATGAACAACTTCTACCAAACGGAGATATATTAGACTGCAAGTACCTTGATTTTAGAAAGGCTTTTCATTCTGTTTAATTGCAAGCTGGGAAGCCACACTGGGAAGTATGTCATTCGTGGGCTCATACTGCAAGACGAGTACAAAACTAGTTGAATATGATCATCAGAGAGTAGAAATTAACAGCTCACTGTTAAAATAGAAGGCTGCACTGAATGGGCTTTTGCACTTTTGCAAGGTTAAGTCACTATTCTGTCTTTTCATTAACAGCTTGGAAGATAAGATAAAATAAAAGATATATTATTAAACATGAAAGAGGCTGGAATGACTTTAGAAGACAGGAATATAATAAGAGTACTTACTGAAGTAGGCTAAAAATATAATGTAATTCAACACAGAAAACTGCTATGTTCTGCTCTTAGGTAGACATAATAATCACATTTAAAATACAACCTATGGAACAACCGGCTAGACATCCATTCCAAAGGAAAAACTAAAAATCCATTGATCATGATGAACAATTGTATGGTTTTTAAAAATGTTACCATCCCAAGATATATTAAACGGGACTGTAAACTACAAAACATGTGAAATAATTTCACGCAGCTCTAGTAGTGCATAATCTAGACCACCCTCTCCAGCTTTGTGACAAGGTTCAAATAAGACAGGAATTAATTAGAAAAACTGCACAAGAAAACACTAAACAGGAATGGTTAGAGGCCTAGAAAATAAGGTCACCATGAAAGAAGGTCAAGAAATGGGGATGTTCAATCTTGAGAAAAAAGGATTCGCATTAGGGTTGCCAAATTGGTAAAAGCCATCTAAAAGGTACCCAAAAAGAATACCATGACAAATGTTGCAAGAAATAATTGCATTAAATTGCTGCTGAAGATTCAGATCAGGTATTAGAAAGTCTTCCTAGTTATAATGGTGGGGAAGTATTAAAATAAATTGTGGAAGTATATTGAATCTCAATCACTGTCTTTA